TGGGCACCCTGCTGGCTCATGTTCAGCTGCCTCTCAACCAACACCCCTTTTCCGCCGGGCAGCTTTCCAGCCCCTCTTCCCCATGCCTGGAGCGCTGCGTGGGGTTGTTGTGACAAGAACAGAACTAGAACTAGAGAAAGAACAAGAACAAGAAAGAACAGAACTAGAGAAAAAAACCAATACTAACAGTGCTGGTTTGAAATATCTTTCCACTTCTCGTCCTGCTCTCTGACATGTTAAGCTCAGATGTCTTACTTGCCAAATGATCAACCTAAAATCAGAAAATAGACATTGCCTTACAACAGGAATAAGAAATGAAGAGGCTGCAGCAGGGTTCAGTGCTGTAGCGTACAAAGAGCTCTGGCTCTGCTCACCACAGTGCTTGAGCGGAAGTTTAAACACAGGAGAATACACGCTGAAGCCGACAGTGCTATTGATGTGTTGAAGAGCCCTGGCAGATCAAAGCTGTGGTTATTTTTGTACAGTAAGTCACTCACAGTTACCTAGGGCTATTCCGGCCTCGGAAATCCTACAGACCATGCTTGATGCAGTCCTCCACGTTGGAGTTCCGCCGTTTTGCTGTATGCAAGGAGTACAGCCTGAGTAACAAACCTGCATTTTAAGTTTTAATCAAGCTTTAATCAAGTTTTGGTCTGTCAGAATTAGCAGAGAAATTTCTACTAGGCAGAGTGTTTAGTTACGGCGGTTTATAAACACGGGAATGCCATTCCCTTTTATCTTCATGCCAGACCATCTGCGTAGTTTGAAAACAGTATCACAGACAAACAGCCCCTTGTTATTGTTCTTGATTGCTTTAGAGTATTAATCGGTTTTGTAAAACGCTGTAGCGTAAAATGTAAATGCATTTTATTGCTGAAAATACTGGCTGTGGTAAATAAACCTTTAGCAGGTCACCTATAATCACGCAAATTAGGGAAGGAGCTCCACAAAAGCTCTGGTAAAAGTTTAAGCTGACAGAGTGCAGTTTTCATACCTGAGGATTAGAACCACACAGATTCTGGTCCCCTCCAGCCTTCGTGACTTCATCCTCTTCACGAGTTAAATTTGGTTCTACAAAAAAAAGAGTTGTTCAATGATAAAGCAGACTGCTGCAATGCGCTGGCAGCCCCTTAGCGCGGATCTTTTGCCACAAGGGACACCTGCATGTGTAAATGCAGCAAAGAGGCGCTTCAGAAGGGCTCCCATTCCCTATGTGCAAGCACGCCCTTAGCCCCACTGCGCTCTCTTGCATCTTTAATTCAGCCACTGCCTATCACAGGCACTTAGGAGGTGCTTGTCCTTAGCACAGATTTCCACACAGGATCTTAGGAAGAGCAGGCTTGATCCCCAAACCCTTCACACGCTGTTCTGCTAAAGGCTCCTCTACACTGGGATTTGCTTCCCAGTAAAAAGCCTCACGAGGCCGTTTTGCACTGCAGAACGGGCAAACAGCGCTGCGGGGCCGCAGCTCCTGCGTATCCTCAACCTGCTGCCAGCAGACGGCTCCCGTTTTGGAACCCAACCACACAACACCCAGCAATTTTGGCTGCAGTTCCCGTAGCTACAGTTCCCCTAGTCGCTGCCTGCAGCTGCATGAACAGGCCACGAAGAATGAACAGTCAGTTCTGGAGATTTTTTGTTGTTTCCAACCCATGCTGGGTTTTTTTTAGGATACAGATATGAACTAGTTAAAGATGACTGTGCTTCAGCTGTGGAAATAACTGAAGAATTTCAGGGTGACAAATGCATTTTCCTATCTCTTGCAGTTCCTGTAAATAAAACGTTACACCAACTCCACAAGACAAGCAATTGGCTGCATTTTCGCATGGTTTTAGAGCGCCTACGAATTTCTAAAAGCACCAGATACAGCTTTACAGGGTTATTCCAGTTCTGCAGCCTACTAGCCTTGTCAAGATAAAAACACTGATCTTCACCTGCTCTTTCCTACACATTTCCATGATAATTTTTGAACAGCATGGAAATGTTAGCTGATTTTGCAAAGTTGCACATTTTATTTCTGGAAAAAACCCAACCAAACCAAACCCCAACATTAATGCCACCATTTATATGCACAGTGTTGAGGACATGACACTCCAACCCATTTAAAAACCCCCAAACTCCAGGCTCAACTTGCTTTGTCCAAGTGCCCCCGCAAGCACTCGGACACCACAGTCGCCCCAAGCAGCTCCTGGTCTTGTTTGGGCTGGGAGGACCAAAAGCCTCAGCACGGACACAGTTGCCGCTTTTGGAGTTACGTGGAAAGCAAGGAGTCTGGAAGTTTTTATGGAAAATTGGCATTTCTGAAGTCTGCAGAACCGGAGTTTTATTTCAAAGCAGATGCAACTTTAGGGAAATGCATTAAGAAGAGTGAACAGAGCAAGCAGCAGCACTAATGGGCACGTCTTCTATGAGTGCCATATATTATCTCCACAGAAGCCTCTACCTCTGTGACAGGGAAAAAAAAAAAGCATTTTACATAGATTTCTCATCCAAATAAAGGTCCCCTGCCCCAATTTTGGTCATAAAGCTTGGGGGTTTTTACTTCAGTCTTGACAACTGTGTTCCTTTAGCTATCCTATTTTACATGAGCATATCAGAGCATATCAGAGCATTTCTGAGCATATGCATCTCCATCTCTACTAGATCTTATTTCTTCTGTTGCTCTTCGCTATGTTTGAACGCTTTATGTACAGCAAACAGATACTGGTGGTGTCTGGATGCTTCCTACACAGCCTCTCCAAGATAAGCATTCTTCAGTTTGTTTGGCAGCAAAGTTCAGTCTTTGAGCCCCGGGGCTATCTTGGGAAATCTGAAGATAAATCATCTTCTACTTTTCCTCCTAGTTTCTCTAAAATCTTAAAGGGAAGCTTTTGCTCACATTGATCCCTGAGGACAGAGTTTGCTGTCTCATGTTTTAACTGGAGACAGTCTGGGTCCACATCCTGGAGCACTGATTTAAAAAAACCAAACAAACAAAAACCCCAAAACCAAGCCAGGGAGTGCTTGCAGGGGAGTTCCTGGTAGCAGCTGTGGTCAGGCTGGCGTAGCCAGGACAGTTCTTTTATTGGCATGTCGGCATTCAGAGCTTAGAGGGGAGGACATTGACAGAATTGTAAGCAAACAGCACAGAAACTTCCTATTTACAAAGGGTAAGAAAAATGCAGCAAGACAGGTGCTGCTGTTTTGCATCAGAAAGGGTGAGCAGCTCCTTCCTGATGTCCCAAATAGCGCGAAGGACATCATCGTTTATTTGGTAACAAGGAGGTGAGCAGCTCCTTCCTGATGTCCCAAATAGCGGTCCAAAAGGACATCATGTTTATTTGGTAACAAGGGACAAGGCAGCTTTGCCTCACAGCATGAAGAGCCCTCAGAGTGTTTCCAAAACATTTCATTTGTATTCTCTGCAGAATTCTCAGTTCAATTGCTTATTGAAGTTGTTACATGAAACTTTTTTTTTTAAATAAACCAGAAGTCAATATTTTTGGCGCCTTCTTGCAAAGTACAGCCCTATAGGCATCCACCTGGAATTTTGCATAGTTGCACATTCACAGATTATACGGTGTTAGGATTTTACTCGAGGAAACTCATGCTAGCAAAAACGCTTTGCTAGAACCTATTAAAAGCAAAGTTAAAAAAGTTCACTTGCAGTAAGCAAAATGTTCCATGTACACAGTGAGAGAAAAAGGCACGCAGGTCCGGAGTAAGCTGTGAAAGCAGGCAGCTAGAAGAGGCACTAAAATAGCCAGCAGCACAGACATCACCGTACAATCATTCATAAAACAAAGATACTGAGATGAAGTTACTGATTGTATCAGGAGGAGCAAACCACAGTAATGAACAACTTCCTTCGTAGAGAACACGCATCATACAGACAGGTATTTTCACATGACTATCATTCACTCTACCACATTAAAAACTCTTCTGCGCACCCAAGCCCTGATGGTCTCGATTTCCCCACAACCACCCAGGTTGAAGTGCATACGGACTGTGGAATCAGATCGTGGTCCTACTGTAGTCAGAGCTGAAGGAAGAAAGGTGGCTAAAAGTGGTTCTTTTTCTAATTTCTGCTGAACTTGCTTAGTGGCTGAAGCTGTTAGGATGCAGTCCAGGCAGCTGTGATTTAAACAAAACCAGACCTGGACCATTTTTTTTTGCACAGAGAATTTTGCTTCCCAAGTCTACCATAATGAACTCCAGAGCTCAATACCTCTACAAGTTTTACACTGAAATTAAATATATTGGTAAAAACATAAGAATTACAGCAATAACAGAAAAATCAAACAACAAAATTTATTTCTAAACATATAACCCATTACATTTAGCTGATCTGATAAAATGGGATGGAAGATTAGAATTTTAGAACAGAAACATGAAAAAGTGCATGTACTAACCAAGTGCTTTACAGAGCAAAGCCGTGACAGAAAATAAAGGCATAGCGATGTATGTGAAGGAAACAGAATGTAGATTTGAATATAGTGGTCTATGTCAGAAAATTGAGTTTTCATTCTAGTAACATCAGGGAAAAGAGGCAGAAAGTGAGGAGACTTGGAAAATATATATAAATGTTACCTTGAGCTTCTGAAATGTTTGTATTATCCCTATATTCCACTTTATTATCCAGGACAGGATCTTCCTAGATTAAGAAAAAGCTCTATCACTTACTGCAGACAAGTAAGGAGGAGGGTTTGTGCTCAGATGCTTAGGGCCAGGGCTTATTAGATGGATTCTCTATTGAAATAATTGACTCTGCCCCGGAACGTACAGGCTAGCTCAGCGTTAATTATTAACGCAAGCACACATGCAACTGCCAACATCTGACCAAAATACTAAAATTGTAACAATAGATATTGAAAGAATCCTTCAGTGCATCAACTACCGCCTTCCCATTGCCTGCGAAACAGCAATCGGCAGGAAGCCTTCAAGCCCCACCTCCTTCGCACCGGCAGCCAGTGTCGCTCAGTGCACATATTTGCACATTCGAACACAACTGAAGGTATTTGCTGCCTGCCTCAACTTACCCCAGAACTAGACGCCTCCAAGTGCCAAAGCCTGCACAAGCGCAGTCCCGAGAGCAGTCTCAGGCGCTCAGCACCAGCAGCAGGATGCACAAGTCCGTGATGCACTCGTGCCTTCAGCACCTTTTGCTTTGTGCTTTCTTCTAGGCAGATTTCCCCGGGGGGAAAATCCCAATACAGAATCAAGCTTGCTTTAACTTTCGCTGTGGCTTCACCAGCTCTATGTGTACTGCTGTACCAAATTTATTGCCCAGCAGCGCTGTCTGGCTGCAGCAGCTCGCCTGGGACAGGAACGGGACAGCTCTGGGGAGGCTTCACCCGCATCCTGCCACTGGGCCTGAACAAACGGCACCCGCACTGCGGAGCTGCCCCTCTGCTCCCCTCCAGCCTCGCAGAGGTGACTACGCTGCTGCTGACACGCATTATTAGGCTGACGCACTTGTTCAACGCTTGCTTTAACAATGAGAGGTTGCTAACTGGAGCAGTAAAATCAAAGCAAAAATGTATTGAAGACATAGTGTCTTGCTTAAATACATGTGAAAACAGAGGGTTTTTTCATTAATGTTATAGTAAGACATACAGTAAAACAATTAATGGCCCTTTTCTAGACTATAGATCACCAAAAAAATTCAACAAAACATTTGCCCTCTTACATTCATGTCCTGGCTCTCCTCTTCTGGATCATCTCTGTCCACTCTGAGCACCTGCAGGGGCACATTAGTCTCTCCGTGCTTTAGGATGCTTTTATCAACATTTTCCATTCGTTGTTTTTCAGTTGTAACTTTAACTTTCAGCATATGAAAAGGCGTTGGCACTTCACCCACATTAAGAGACAGAGGCTCCCCCTCAAATATCATCCCCTCACATTCGCCCTCCTTAAAACCAGGGGGCTGGTAGTCAGATGGTGTAACTGCAGAAAAGAATTAATGGTGTCAGAATGAAACACGTTCTGGTAAAACTAATGTTCACTTGTGCAGCTAAAAGACTCCTTTTCCCTTTAAATACAAAGAGCTACTAAAAAAAAAAAATTGTGTGTGGGGGGAGGAGAAAAATCAATACTCAGCTTGGGCTAAATGAAGTTCTTTTCCCCCTACGCAACAGGCAAAACCAATTTAAGCTTTTTGAAACAGTTTATATATGCAAAGAGATGAGCTAGAAGCTCTGATTCTTCATCACAAAGCAAGAATACATTCTGAAGGCAGAGCTAGCGTCAGCCATTTACAGTCATCCAACCTAGAACTAGTCTGGCAAACATGTTACATCCTAGCATACTCGGGAAAACTCCACTGGTTTTTAAAACACTCTGAAATCCTTGCTCCAATGAAGTCAGTGACAAGATTGTGTTCCTACAGTGAGATCAAATCCCCTCCTAGATTCTAGAAATTGTCATGAGAAACAGGCAAAGCAACATCATTTAACAAGTCCCAGCAACCGTAAAGATTACATATTAAAATATTCCTTTGAATTGTTTCCCAATGTCTGAACACAGTGGATAAGCAAGGAAATACAGAAATACTACCTTCATCGTAATAAAACAGCTTCATAGTCAGGCAAACATCATTTGGTAATGGACTCAGGTTTTGCATCAGAACATAAATCTTGCGAATGAGGAGGATACTTGCTTTCTTGGTGTCTGCACAGGTAATTGTGGAATCATTCCTTTTGTCCTTACTGAAAATGGACAAAGCATTCAGATTTTTTTTATACAGTGAGCTGTTTCTGGTATTAAGATACACAACTGCTTAAGAGACTATGAATGTCAGAAGCATTTAGTGCCCAACGTCTGAGATTACGAGCACTGCAATTCCCAATACCCTCGAAGCGACCTGCGCACTCTCTGCCCCTTGGAAGATCAAATAGCTGCGACCAGCTACTGTGCCTTACATTACACAGTGCTTAAAAAATATCCAATCTGAAAGAAAGAAAGAAGTAGCTACTGTTGAAAGCCCCAGTTCTGCAAAGTCTCACACACTTGCTTTCCCTTAAACAAACCCAGTAACGCTGCTGACTTTGACAAGACCGGTTCCTGATTAGAAAATGCGTGCCTAAGTGACTCTTGGCATCCAGCTCCGACATTTCCATGCTCCTGTTCTACCAGCAGCTGACCCAAAGCCTACCTTGCTGCCACTAAAAATGCTTTCCCTCTGCTCCCCAGCTCCTCACAGCCACGCAGCTTAGAGAGGCTCCTGGGGACCTGAACAGCAAGGCAAGCAACCGTGAGTTATCCCACTGCGTAACCCTCCCTTTGGAAGGACGCCCTTAACTGCAGTGGAGTCAGAGGTCTCATCCCTCTGCAGACGGTCATCTCCTCCCCTGCAGGGTGACGGAGAAGCAGGCCCATGCCTTATATTTTCAAATAAGCCTGGTGTGAATTCATGCTAACACACTAAAGCAACCTGGTGTGGCTGAGAGCGCTGCATCCCCTTCCAGCAGATTTTTTTACCTGACTTACACCCTCTTGCAGAGGTAACTAACTAAACTCAGCCCAAAGGACCTCAAGTCTGCAGCACTACAGCTTTTTTTTTTTTTTTTTTTTTAATTTAAAAAGCATTTTTTGCAGGGGGAACCCGCTCAAGTCTGCAGCACTACAGCTTTTTTTTTTTTTTTTTTTTAATTTAAAAAGCATTTTATGCAGGAGGAAACCCGGGAGGACTATGAACTTGCTACTTGCCTTAAACCAAGCCATTTCCTTGCAGCTGTGACTGACCAGTCAACCCCTACAATGGAAGAAGGCTCAGTGGAGACAGGCATGAGTGCTGTGCCCGTGAAGCTCAGGAAACAGCAAAGGGTGGCACTGACCAGAGCTGTTGCAAAGAAAGCTTTATCTCACCACACAGGGGACCAGAGTGCTGCCTTCGTTTCAGGCAAGTAGCTATGTCAGCTGAGTGGTGTAAATGTTTCCCCCGGAGTCCATTAAAGGTGTGTGATGTCTCCTTGAGTTGGTCAGACCAGTACAGGGGGGTGAATACACAGCTCAGCCCAAAGAACATAAAAACTAAACAGCTGACAAAAGAATTCCCAAGAGAGCAATAGGCTGGAGCTGGCTTGAACCCACTCATTCCTTCCCCGTGACCGGGGATGCCCAGCATCGTGACGGTGAGCGTTACTATAGAGACCGGCAATGGGAATCACACTGGTAGTGGGACTGAACCGTGTATTGCAATAGCTATGCTTCGCTAAGCGGAGCTTACATTTGTACTGCATTTTCAGTGTATTTTGGATCATCTCTGCTAAATGAGAAATCCCATGCAAGATGAGGCATCTTCAGGTAAGTAAAGCTGATATTAAACATTTCACCCTCCACACATGGAAGATCTTCAAAAACCTGCTCAGAGAGTGTTGGACTCTGACGCAAAGAATCATCTTTTGAATGGATATTTAAAAATGTGACTACAACCTGACAACATGATTCACTGTATCTTAAGTCTAAGCTAATAGTACACGTTAATAAAATTAGCTTTAAGATCCACAATTTGAAAAGAAAACAGCAAACAGATAAAATCCAAAGTTTTTACGTTCTGCTGTATGCAACGGACTGTAAAGCCACAGAGCAGAATAAATCACAGTGACAGTACCTGCTGAAATCCAGGAGTGGCCCGTTGTGGGTGTACTTGAATTTGAAGTGGTAGCATTCTGTAATCGTCTGCAAACAAACCCAGTAATTATTAGATTATCAGCTGTCAAGCAAACTACTGCTGCTTCTGTCTAGTAATCTATTAACCTCGCATTTAAAGAAAATAACGATAGCCCAACTCCTGTCTGGTGCACTTGTACCACTGAATACAGCTTTCTAATGCTGTAGCAGTTAATGGTATTAATGTATGTAACTGTCATCAAATAGAAATCAAGACCCACATTATTTTCCAGGAATCAACTCGGTAAAATATTTTGAAACATCACCTGAAACTTTTAGAATGAAATATGCATTCCAAGTTTAATCACTATGAAAATGTTTCAGACACGTAACAGAGACATGGCGACATCCAGTGGTTAGTTAAAACATACTGTGTTTCCCCAAAGAAGGCCCATAAATTTGTTATGCAGTTAGGACGATGCATCTTTACGGGCATTTTAACCCCACAACGACACGCTGGGTTTCTTGTGCTGGCCTGAGAATAACCTGACACTAGATATCCAAAGGCAATTCACTGTGTGGCAATTCTGATCAGCTCCAGTGATTCTCATGTTTGGTATTTTGTCTCTTTTTTTTAACGTGCATTAATGGCAATGTTAAGTACTACTTCACTACAGCCACACTACCACTAATCATCCAGTAAAATATTCCAGCAGATTTACCTGAGGATCTTCTGGATGGGTATAGACCTGCATTTTTCAAGTAAAGAGAGGAAACGGAGTAAGGACTGTACACATTTCTAAGCATCTACATTAAAACCCACGTAGCTTACTTTTCAAAGATACTTACTGCTAGGACAATCATTCTCAGCTGTCAGAAACATAATGAAAGAAAAAGAACATTAAATGTATTCCACAGCCTGCCCCTGCTTACCAAGCTGTTCTGTTTCGCTAGCTCTGAAACCCAATATAGACAGCTATGGGCCTGTTTGAAGAGAAGCCTCTTCATACGCTTAACTCCTGATCTGTTTAAGAAATTACTCAACTGGCAGAAGAAAATTCCTCAGTATCCCTGCCTTTAAGTGTTTCTCTTTACAAAGAATATTATCCTGCAATGTCCGTGCATCCCACCTCGTAGCTAGCTGCTTTAACATATTAAAGCACAGCTACTCCCTAACCAGAAAGTCCTGTAACTACGCTGGCAGCTAACGGACTTATAGAAATGGGTGTTTAAACATATTGAAAACAGCTAAATGATACTGGAAGACTTACATATTTCTTCTGCAAGGCATCATAGCATCCTAACATCCTGCAAAAATCAAATAATATTGTCCATCTACTACTTATTTCCATTTGCTTTGCTTCTGACTAAAATAAAATACTCCCAGAAAAAAGGCATTTGTATTTAGCCTTCTTAATATTAGATCAGAGCAATAAAGAATACTTTTTCCATTATTCTGGCTTCTTATTAGTAGCGATACAAGCACTGTCTGTCTTTGTAACACCCCAAATCATCCACACCTCTCTGCGGAATAAGTAAAAATACAATCTGTAAGTAAATAATTTGTAAGTAAAACCATCATGCAATTGTACAGCTACCATTTTCAAACACCTTCTAACACTTATGCATTAATCTGTTTATAATTATCCGTAGTTCAGCTGAGCACCGACACCTCTGAAGCACAAAGGAGTTAATGTTATTGCCTTTATTCAGATGCTGCAGTTTGCTCTTTATATGACATGCAAACAATGGTCAAATAGTGATGAAAACTTACCCTAATTTTTTTCTAACATTTCTTTTGAATACAGTCAGCAAGCAAAAACTGGTTCTGGTGCGTACATGATGCTGAGTTAAGAAAAGCCACTCACCTGAACACGCCAAGCAGGTAGCACACCCCCTTCACACAAAAACCAGGGAGCTTTGCCTTGCCAGCTTCCACAGGCTGCCACACCACCGCCCTCGCTAAGGCTTGGTGTGTGAGGGTAAGGTGAGACGCGCTCCGCGCCACTTGAGTTTCCCCTACCACCGAAGATCAATTAAGAAATTCCAGGGTACAGTAACGAAGCCTCTTTTCCCCCTCCTAGTGACAGCACACAGACAGAGAGCGGATGGCTAGTTACACCTTTAACCTCAGAACTCAGACCTACATCTCTGAACACCTCACCCCTGACAGCAGCTGCAAACCCCCTCTGCTGAATGCAGCACCATTTGCGATGCCCTACCTGGCACTACAGCTGGTGAAACTGTGAAAAGAACAAAGACGGCCTTTACAGAGGCAACAAAAAGCAAGGAGAGTCTTGCACTTACTGCAAACAGAAGGAAAACAAAAATAATCCCCTCTAGTCCCGAGTGACATAGTTACACTCACCTGTGTCAATGTACAAGTGGACAGACTACGGCTTGCAGATACAATTCTGCCTTTGAATATAAAGGCCAACGGTACCACTTGCTGTTACAAGTCCGAGCGCAAGACCTTTACATACAGGACGCAAAACGGTAACACTGCATCTCCTATTCAGCTAGAGAAGAACTACTGGATAAATTTTTGCCTTTACGTGCACCTTGAGCACACATATACGCTCATGGAAACTAAATGTAAAGTATAATCACTCTGTTAAACAAAGATCCGTGCTCTGTTAAGCACCGAGTTGTCAGCCTTTCTGGAAACACAACTGTACAAGTCCATTACACCTTTACCAACACACACGCAATTTCATTTTCCATTAAAAACCAAACCTGTCAACATAGTAAATAGCAGGCACTAGAAGCACTGCCCTGGTACCCGCTCACTCACAGCAATGGAAATTTTTTCTTTGCATTCGCAAACAACCAGAAAGGTATCTTTCAGAATTGACGTGAAAAAAAAAAAAAAAAAAAAAAAAGAATGAATACCTGCATATTTACTTAGGACAAAATGCAACTACATTGCTAAGAATGTGAAGTTCATTGCCTAAAAGTATGTATCCAAGCAGACTCAAATTAACATTACTGGCAAGTGTCAGCACGGTTTTATTTGCTGCGTTAGCATCACCGCTATCTTTAAGGAAATTCAATGACAATTGTATTAGTGAAGTTTCCATTACAGTCACTGAAAGCGGCTACCAGCTTTAATCAAGACAACCAAGTGGCTTTAAAAAACACTCATTAACTTCACAGCAATCCTATGACAATCGATTTTGCTAAGAATCATGAAAACAGCCTGTTACCATCCATGTATCTGGTTCCATAGGCACTTTCAGGAAATATTCCTCTCAGGTATGTAATGCAGGATACTGCTACTGCCAGGAGCCTCTTCACTAGCATCAGGGATTGCTGCTCAGTCGATATTTTGTTAGGAAATACAACTGCACTCTGAAAGTTAGAGAACAACAACAAACCTGTACAGCCTACAATCTGGTCCAATGCCTGCTTAACATTTCAATTTAATTGAGAAGTAGGACTTTCGGCATTTATAAAGCTACGCATATTCTTAACGCTTGAGGTTAGAATGTTTTTAGGATATAGCTGATTTCTACCAAGTGTATGGCCACAAAGTTCAGACTCAACTATTTTGCTACTAAGCACCTTTATTCACGGTTAAAAGGTCTGTGGTTTTCAAGTGAAGAAACATTAAACAGCAGCTGGGTGCACTATTTCAGCTAAAATTCAGCAGTTTTTCCAATTCAAATAATTCACTGTGATGAAATACACAAGCAAACCATACCACAGAATTCCTTTGCTTCTGAGCAGTTGCCATTTCGCAGATACTCTTCTGCCTGTCAAGAACACATCTGCATTAACACACGTATGACCACCAGTCACAAGCACACGCAAGCCCAGACCGCAGCTACTCAGCTTTAACTAGTCAGGACCTGAACCTAGGACACTTCCGACACAATTAACAGGGATCACCTCAAACCAACCCCGCGATTTTAAGGAAACACTGCATTTAATAATCACCAAAACTAGATTCTTGATTTTCACACCAGCACAGACCTCCCCCAAGGCTGCAGTATGCAGTAATTAAAATATTGTGTGCCTATTTATATGAAACATGAGCCTCGGAAAGCAATGCTCTGAAGTGCTAATTGGCACCCAGCCCAACAGATCCTCCACGGACCCTAGGAAGAGGCTCTCCACATTTCTGTCACCTCCAGCCAAAGCCGAGCCACCACCTTTGGAAAACACCCCCAGGCAGGGGTTCTCTTCCTCTGGGATTTACGCAAGTAGTGTAGAGATAGACCCCTTTCAGCTGTTCTTTTTGCTCAGCCACGCTTTGATTAAGCCTTTACCCCTCAGCACCGCGCGCCTGACCCCACAGCCCAAGCCTTCCCCACCACCTCCAGAAGCGAGATGCAGCCACCCTTCAGGCCACAGAAGATGCCTTTCCCAAGCAGCAGGCGGGGCCTGGGCCCTGCAGGGAAGCGAGCCTCGCCCTTAGCTCAGCCCCCACAAACCCGCCCGATCTCAGGGTGGGGCTAAGCGCAGCACTTGGGGGAGAAATGCCGAAATGGAGGCGCCCCTTCCCAGCACCATCGCCCCCAGAAAGGACAACCAAGGTACGAAGGCCACCCGCAGCCTGAGGGGCAAGGCGCGACTCGCAGCCGGGGGGGGTCAAAGGGATTTGATTTTGGGTGGAAATAGCCAATGAACTGAATTGTACGATGTTAATTGCTGTATAATACAGTATGTCATCATTTTCACTATTGCTGTATATCCTACCAATGGTGGAGCAGTAAGAATCGCCCAGCTTAAGAAGAATGAATTTTGAAGAAACTGAGGAAGTGCAGCGGGTGGAACCAGAACTGACTTCAGCCTACAACATCGCAACACCAGACCCCATCTCTCCTGCCATGAAAGGCTGCTAAGACAGATGGAGCCCAAAGCCATGGAGTAAAGAAATCCAACGGACATTTTAGAGGGATGGTCCACAGACTAAGGGAATGCTATCTGTGTGTATAGATCAAAAAATTGGAAGGCCCGCCTGCCCGCGCTTTTCCGGGGCGAGGGGCCTTGTGCAAAGGGAGGGGTGGGGCCCGCCCTCCCGGCACTGCGGGGAACAGCGCCGTGCAAAGCCTGGGCGCGCAATGGTGGCAGGTTCGGCGCGGCGGTTGGCGTTGGATTGGATTGGGTTCGAGCAATGCATCGCCGCTCCCGCAGCGCTTGAGCCCCGCGACACGCGGGAGGACTCACGGCGGCTGTTGCTCGCCAGAGCGTTTATTAAGGCAGCGTGCGAGCCTCGTGCCCGTGTAGCTTCTGCTTAAATGTAAGGAAAAGGGTTCAGTGAGAGTGCAGCCTCACCCGGCAGCTCCTCCGCAAAGGCCTTTTTCCTTCAGAATTGCTTTTACCACCCTGCTGGAAGCAGGCGCAGTGCTCGATCCCAGTTGTGTCGGGCGGGGGCAATGGCAGCTGAAAGTGCGGCTGAGAGCGCCTGCATTTCGGTGTCGTGATCACGGAAACCTACGTCAGTGGGAAGCCCCTGACAGCAGCTGCTTTCCCTCCCCACACTCGTCGGCAGCAGTGGGTGGTCCATGCCCTCCATTCCCAAATCACAAACGGACCCAAACTAAAGAGCAGCTGGCCAGAGTGAGGGCCTACGTGGGATGATGGCATGCTCCGACACTGAGCCTCCAGAGACAACCATGTCCTGCCGTGCGCGTTCCCATCCTGTTCTATGATGGGCTTGCTGCTGTTTTTGGAAACCACCGTACCCTCCTGACCCCAACTCTTGATTCTGCAAGAAGTGCATCTGTTGGCACATCATGTACAAGCATGAGCAGTGAGAATGTGATCGACGGTCTGACTGACGTCAAGCCAGATGTGCTCTTGGAGGATGGCCTCCAATGACACTGTTGATGAAATGCGTTTCCAACCTCTGCCTTTAAACTGCAAGCAGGCAGGTGTGGGCCATCCCAATCCAGATGTCTCATTATTTTTGCTCCACCTGGGGCCAGACCAGCTTCTCCCTTTGTGAAACCTGCCTGGTACAGATTCAAAACCAAACAAAAAAGCCCAGAGAAGCCACATTAGAGCACGCATAGCAGAAAGGAACATCTGATCCTTAACTTGAGAGCTTAAGGGTAAAAATTAAGGGACAGGCTAGCATGGGTGACGCTGTGGTGAGTGTTTACTACAGGCCACCCAACCAGGGTGAGGAAGTAGACGAGGCCTTCTACAGACAGCCAAAAGTAGCCTCGCAGCCACAGGCTCTGGTTCTAATGTGGGACTCCAACTACCCTGATAGCAGCTGGAAGGACCACACAGCAAGGTGCGCACAGTCCAGGAGGTTCCTGCAGAACATCGATGGTAACTTTTTGACGCAGGTGGTGGAGGAGCCAATGAAAAGAGGAGTGCTACTGGCCCTTGTGCTGAGAAATAAAGAAGAAGTGGCTGAGGATGTGAAGGTAAGGGGCAGCCTTGGCTGCAGCGCCCATGAGATGGTGGAGTTCCGTATTCTGCGTGGTGGAAGCAGATCAGTAAGGAGGACGGCAACGTTGGACTTCAGGAGAGCTAACTTTGGCCCCTTCAGGGTCCTACTTGGAAGAATCCCGTGGGTTAAGGCTCTAGAAGGTAGGGGAGTCCAAGAGAGCTGGCTGCTATTTAAGCAGCATGTCCTCCATTGGTGCATCCCCATGAGTAGGAAATCAAGTAAAGGAGGCCTGCGTGGATGACCAAGGAGCTTCTAGCAAAACTCAAAGGGAAGAGAAAGCTCTATGGAATGTGGAAAGAGGGACAGGCCACTTGGGAGGTACTCAGGCATGCCGCCAGAGCGTGCAGGGAAGCAACTAGAAAGGCTAAGGTCCACGTGGCATTAAATCTGGCGAGGGATATCCTCTGCCCTGGTGACGGGGGATGCAGAGAAGGCAGAGTTACTGAATGCCGCCTTTGCTTCAGTCTTCACTGCCAAGGCTGGCCCTCAGGCTTCCCAGTCCTTGGAGGTAAGTGAGCAAGCCTGGAGAAAGGAGGACCTTCCCTCCGCTGAGGTCGATCAGGTCAAGGATCTTTTAAGTAAGCTGGGCACCCACAAATCCATGGGTCCCGATGGGATGCCCCCGCGAGTGCTGAGGGAGCTGGCAGACGTCATTGCTGAGCCACTCTCCACCATCTACGAAAGGTCCTGGAGAACAGGAGAGATGCCCGAGGACTGGAGGATAGCCAATGGCACTCCAGTCTTCAGAAAGGGCAAGAAGGAGGACCCAGGGAACTACAGGCCGGTTAGTCTCCCCTCCGTCCCCGGAAAGGTGGAGGAACAACTCATTCTGGGTGTCCTCTCCAAGCAAGTGGAGGAAAAGATGATGATCAGGAGTACCCAGCATGGATTCAGTAAGGGGAAATCACGCCTGACCAATCCGATAGCCTTCTGCGATGGCATGAGCGGCTGGGTAGATGAGGGGAGAGCAGTGGATGTTGTCCACCTTGACTTCAGCAAGGCTTTTGACACTGTCTCCCGTAACGTCCTTATAGGGCAGCTCAGGAAGTGTGGGCTGGATGAGTGGACAGTGAGGTGGATTGGGAACTGGCTGAATGGCGGGGCTCAGAGGGTTGGGATCAGCAGGGCAGGGTCTGGTTGGAGGCCTGTGGCTGGGGGCTGGCCTGCTGGAAAGCAGCTCTGCCCAGAGGGACCTGGGAGTCCTGGGGGACGAAAAGCTGACCATGAGCCAGCAGGGTGCCCTTGTTGCCAAGAAGGCCAATGCCATCCTGGGGTGCATTAAGAGGAGCGTGGCCCACAGGGTGAGGGAGGTTCTCCTCCCCCTCTGCTCTGCCCTGCTGAGATCCGCCCTGGAGCTCTGGGTCCAGTTCTGGGCTCCCCAGTTCAAGAAAGATGAGGAACTCCTGGAGAGAGTCCAGAGGAGGGCAACAAAACTGATAAGGGGACTGGAACATCTCCCCTGTGAGGAAAGACTAGGGAAGAGTCATGGCTAGACATGAGCCAGCAATGTGCGCTGGCAGCCCAGAAGGCCAACCGTACTCTGGGCTGCATCAGGAGGAGTGTGGCTAGCAGGTCGAGGG